AACCCCCCGATTTACGTACGCCCTCCGGTCTCGTACTGTACGTAAAATCGAGGTTCTACTGTAAAATGGGCAGTGGCGTTTTAATATCGTTAGCATGTCTAAGCAAGAACAAACTACTTTCTTGGAGTATTAATATATAGGAATTGTTACGTATTAAGAATAATGATTATAGGAAGAATAATCTTATTCAAATTTTTTTATAAGAAATAACAAGAATGGAAAATGGCGTAATATTTCAAATGTAAAAATTGTTTAATGTGTGAAGTTGCTTGGATTTCTAAGATATAGGTTACATGATGCATTGCATAATGTATCACATGATGCATCACATGCTGCATCAATAATACTTCATGATGCATCACATGATGTATCACATGATGCATCACATGACGATTTGTCACATGATACATCGCATGATGCATCACATTTTGCATCACATAATGTGTCATGATGCATCACATAATGCTTCACATGGTGCATCACATGATGTCACATGATGCATCACATGATGCATCACACAATTCTTCACATAATGCACCACATGATGGGTCGCATGATGTGTCATATCATGCATCACATGATGCGTCACATGTGTCATGATGTGTCACATGATGCATCGCATGATGCATCACATATGCCTCACATGATGCCTCACATTTTGCATCACATGATGTGTCACATTTTGCATCACAATTCTTCACATAATGCACCACATGATGGGTCGCATGATATGTCATATCATGCCTCACATGTGTCACATGATGTGTCACATGATGAATCATGTGTTGTTTCACATGATGCATCGCATGATGCATAACATGATACGTCACATGATGCATTACATGATGCCTCACATTTTGCATCTCATGATGTGTCACATGATGCATCACGACTCTCCACATAATGCACCACATGATGGGTCACGTGATGTGTCATATCGTGCATCACATGATGTGTCGCATGTGTCACATGATGCGTAACATGATGCTTTGCAGCCAATGACTAGGTTGAAAGCTTAGGTTAAATTTGAGGCTATCACTATTAAAACAGGAATATTTTTGCTAAACCAAACACGAATGTGTCCAGTTCTGTGAAACATTCCGACTTTTTTTTTTCTTCAATAATTCATGTTAATTCATGTGAACTACCTTGAAAATTATGGAAGCATGTGACAGGCTCATCACTTTTATTTATGTTTCCTTCAATCAACTTCAATGAATTCATCAAGGTAGCATTATAAACATTATCAGTTGGTTGTTAGTGATCCTTCTATCACTCTTTGTTATTTGACAATTTTTTTTTTATTACATGAAACGAACTAAGAACAATGCTTTACAACTTACAGGCATTGTTCATTATGAAATAATAAATGTACTTTAAACATTTCCCAAAAGGCTTTTAAACGTCGGTTTGCAAACCCACACCAAATACATACAAACCAAAATTGAAAAACGAAAATAGAATGTAGGAAAAAAAATGATTAGCAACATTCCGAGGTCATCAGTGGTTTGATCTGAACGGTTCATTCTCTTATAGCCCATCATTCCAGGCTTCAAGGCCTTTCACATTATTTCCCCGGTCTGTGGATCAAATGTCTGCTGTATGGAAGACATACTTAGCTTCCTGGGGAGTGTGTTCAATAATTGTACAGCTAGTAATCAGCACATTGCCATTCATACCTAACACTTGCTCATGTGTAATCCTAGTTGAGAAAAACAATGGGTATATAAAGTGCCCAATGACACAAGCAAAGTGCATAAGGACACATTTGAATCCCGAAATCAATGCTTGGAGCGCAAACTGTAACCATTCCCATTGTAGGTGGTCGATTGATTATACAGGTGATCAATTCATGGATTGATCGTTGAAATAATTATGCAGGTTGGTAATTCATTGGATTGATTATGCAGGTGGTCATTCAATAGATTAATTATACAGGTGGTCATTCAGTTGCTTAATTTATATAGGTGGTCATCCAGTTGATTGATTATACAGATGGTCATTCAGTGGAATAATTATTTAGGTGGTCATCCAGTCATTTCATTATACAGGTGGTCATTCAGTGGAATGATTACACAAGTGGTCATTTAGAGGATTTATTATACTGGCGGTCTTTCAGTCGGTTGATTATAAAGGTGATCTTTTAGTGGATAGATTATACAGGTGGACATTCAGTGGATTGATCGTACAGGTGGTCATTTGGGAGATTGATCATACAGGTGGTCATTCAGTGGATTGTTAATATAGGTGGTCATTCAGTGGGTACCCATCATTCAGTAGATTGAATACAGATGGTCACTCACTAGATTGATCATGCAGGTGGTCATTCAGTGGATTGTTAATATAGGTGATCATTCATTAGATTAGTCATAAAGGTGGTCTTCATTAGATTAATCATATAAGTGGTCATTCTGAGATTTGAAGACATCCATTTTCTGCGCCAGTTAATAATATGCCAGTTTTTTTATAAAGTACAACATGCCAACAAGGCCTATATAATATTTAAATAATGCCATTTTTATTGTCTTCTCATATACCCTTACATTTCTAGCAACACATTTTAAAGAATATTTTGATTTCTAGTTTTGAATTCTTTCTTGATTTTTTTGGATGGCAGTAAATTTTAATTGAAATTAATTTGTGTCTTACGTAGCTGCATTGGGTTTGAATCAAGCAGCGATCTTTAGCCTCCAAGGTGTTTAGTTCCAGAATATTTATTGTAAGACAAGACTCAATATCATATTTCTCCCACTGTAAAAGGTTTATTGACCCCTGTCATTAGCAGTTATTTGAATTAGTATGTCTGAAGTTTGATTAGTGAATTCTACAGCAAGTCTATTGACGCTTGCATATGCATAATAGCCCAGAGCCATTTCCCGAGCCGTTGTTTGTCTGCAAAATGTTTAAGGTCGGTGTACTTTGGTTGGATAGGAACAAACTGCGGCAGAAATGTAATAAGCTCTTTTTTCCTTTATGCCTGAGCACTGTGCAGTCTAATGAACTAATGTTTTCATATTGTTGCATTGTCAACCGTTGGCAATGTTGAATTCGATCTGTTGTACTCAATTTACTGATTTGAAAATCTATTTAGGGTGGAGTGGTAGATTGCCGAATATGGATGTTGAAGATATTATTTTCTTGCCAAATGTCTAATGATGTAAGATAAGACAATGTTCTTGCGGTAGCCGAGAAGGCTTGTCTGGCTGTGGCTTTGTGTATATAATGTGTGATTACACTTAACCTATGATTATGCGTAATCACCTGAGAGCAATGAAGCTGCAATATCAATCTTTGTAGTAATTATCTGACATTTCTGTTATCGTGTATTTGTAGGGATGGAAATAAAATCATTAAAAAAATGAACATATTCACTTAGGGTTGATTATTCCGTAGTACCAATTGGACATTTTATTTAGCTTCCCCAAAGGAGCGAAGGTCCGGGGAGGCTATTGATATGCCTGTGTTCTTTTTCATGTTATTATTTTCGTTATCGCTGTCATTGTTGATCATTGTTTGTTACCACGATGACTAAAGTTTGGTAAGTCTGATTAGTTTCAAACTTGGCAGAATGCAAGTTGGTAATAAGAAGACGTAGTCTGTTGTTTTTGGAACGTGTGTGAATATTCTAATTCATCATTTGCATAATTAATATTTCACTAATCAGGAAATTTACACTAGTTGCCTGATTGTCGAGTTATTATTTATATGAAACATATAATTTTAATTATCTACTGTCGATTTTTGTATTTTATTTTTTAGTCTAGTCGTAGGCCTCTACTAAAAGAAACAAATAGAAATAGTCATTGAGCAAGAAATGAAATAGAACATATGACAGTCCATTAATCAATCTAAAATTACATTATACATTTTATCCTAAAAAGTCTGTGGTTTTAAAAGTCTTTTTTAACTTAATGTAAGTATGTAACTGGCTCTAGAAATTTAAATTTCGGGCCGTCTTCTGCCCTCTGTGTAATAGCATCTTCATCAGTAAGCTTGCACGCACATCTCATCTACGCTCAGATTACTTATCATCGTTGAATTGACTGACAGCCATGCATTACATTACATTAAAATATTGCAATAAATAAAATCTCTTCATTTTTATTACTTATTTTATATTAATTAGGGTCTTTTAACCTTTGAGTTTTGTAAACTTAGAATTCTAAAGATTTAAAACAATTAACTCATTGTTCTTCCATCTTTCCCCCATTCTTTTCCCTGTCTCAAGTGACAAAAAACAGTAGTTGATAAGATTAAAATTATTTATTTGATACAAGCTTGCATCCACTCTGTAGGCTTCATCAGATAGGGTTGTATAAGTGATATATTATTCAACCTCAACAGGCTTTAATTACAAATTACTGTAATAGCAGAGAGACTATCATAAAAACAAAAAGACAATAATGAAAAAAGGGTGACTAAATTAGAGTTCCAAAGCAAATAAATCAAAGCAAGACTCTTGCATTTTCATTTTTTTTGTTTATTTATTTATTTATTTATTTGTTTGTTTATTTATATTTATTTGTTTATTTATTATTTGAGTTTTTTATAAATGAATTGAATGATTGATTATTTTTTGATTGGTAGTTTATTGATTAATAGAATGATCAATTATGTGATTGAGTGAGTTATCGATTTATTTTTTAATTATTTGATTGATAGTGATTATGTGATTGTGTTAGTAATTAATTCATTTAAGGGCACAATTGATTGTTTTATTATTTTAGTTTATTGACTGATTGATTAAAAAGAAAGTGGTAAGGTTGGTCTAAATGAGGAGTATGCTCAAGACAACAAGAAGTGGAAGATGGGAGTGTCATCATGGTTTGAAACTCGGTAACCCATCGTAAGATGAAAAATGCTGACTCCAATAATTGATGATGATGATGATGATGGTTAATTTTTATCGAACTAGCGACTGTTCCAAAGTGAATAAAATAAAACAAACATCTGGCAATCTCATGTTTTAAATTTGCAATTATTTTCTATATTTTATCTAGCCCCTGCCAAAAGCCCATCATCAATTATTCAAGAAAAACCTACAAGATTTCAAAGGACAAGATATGGGTGTTCAAGGTCATAGCTTCTTCACAAACCAACAATTTAAGGTGAGTAACCTTACTTGGAGCTGAAGAAAACTCATAATTTCAGTCCACTGTTGATCAACACACCTTTAGACAGATGAGAATTCTGGATAGAGGAAAAAAATAGATGATAAAGTTTTATTAACATTAAAATATGTTTATGAACTTTTGTTCTTTCTTCTGTAAAAAGTAAAACTGAATGCAAAACAGTAAAACAACAATAAAACCGCAACATGTCTACCCCACTACTTCATGATGTTTCTTATGTGATTACCAGTTTTTGGTAATCGTTTTAAGTTATGGCACCTCGGGGATAACTCCAAAAATAGACATGTGTACTCTATGAATAGCCGATTGATTGACTGAGAAAACAAATCGCTGTCTTGAATAGTTAAGACTCATTACGTCTCAAGAAGCTCAAGGCTATGTGGGACACAAACTCATTGTAAGTTATTTTTGTCCCTGGTCATTGGATTCATAATCGGCAAAATCGGCACGCGAGTGCAACTTTTCAGATGTACCAGGTACCTATTTATACTCGTGCTTGGAGGACAAATAAACATAGGTAGCAAGACTTTTTTTATATCTTGTTTAGCGAACCCGCTACCCACCAATAATGATGGTTTCGAATAAAAATGAAGTTTTATTTTTTTTGCATATTAGCACACCCGACAACGCCACGAACAAATGGAAATTTCAGAAAAGAATTATTTTTTCTTTTTACGCCCGCTGCTGTTAAATTTAATTTAAAGCATTTAACCATCCCATTAATACACTGTTTGCATTCACCAAAAAAATTTTATTTTTATTTTCTCCTCTGTCTGGATGTGTTTGGCAAAACTATTTGCTAAATAACAAACCAAAATTTTATTTTTTATTTTTTTCCATCCTCCTCTGAAGATCTGTCACAAAATAAGTTTGCGAAACAAGGTTTAAAAAAAGTATGGTAAGACAGTTAACCAACTTGTAGAAGTTTGCATGGGCTTAGGTTTCAAACTTTTATTTAGCCAAAGAGTATAGAATTGCTGGAGGTTTGAATGCCTAGATTCTGTATGCACACAACGAAACATTAAAGGTATAGTACTATTAGAATTGAGTTCGAAAACATGCCCTTTGATGGACGCCCTCTAGTTTGGGGTAGTACTTTTTGAAATAGGACGTTCCAATGAAACCTCAAGAGTCAACCCACTTGCAGTTCTTTACTCTTTGCTTTAGCCTAGACCTGCATTAGTTTTCGAGCGTATTAGGCATGCTCCTGGCTTATTTGCTACACACATATAAATGATTCAAATTCAAGTAATTCAAAATTTTAGGCCTACAGTTTAACTCACTATTTTCTTGTCTTTCTGAATTGAATTGATCATCTTGGCTTCAACTGCTCTTTGTATTTCTGTATTAAATTTTATCCACTCGTTCCTATAATCTGAATTTTTAAAAATGAGTTTTAATATTTTCTGTATTTTGAAGTTGCATGTGTTCTGAAATAATTTATGAATCGCTAATGTAATTGGTTTTGTTATAGGTTATACATACTCGTATTCGGTAATTGTTTGGGAGAAGTTTATTCCGATATTGCTACAAAGTTATTTTCTACATATGTCCAATTTGAGTGTTTTCTTTAGTTAAATTGTTCTGCATATTGAGTTTCAGACAGTACATGCAATCATCATCATCAGTATTCTGCTTATTGTAGCAGATCCTTGTATGAGCAAAGAGTTGTTATCGACTGTATGAGTTAGTCTCCTTTATTTTCCTCCATTCAGTGCAATCTTGTGCCTCTCTCATTATTGCAGCATAGCCACCCAAATTCTAAATCATTTAAATCCCTTTCTTCTTCTACTCCCTCTTTACAATGCATACCTACATGCAGTTTGAATTTAATAAGTACACCATAAAGTATCAATCTGGTCTGATTACATCCCAACGTTATGAGAGTATAGAGTACCACAATCGTATCGTCACGACGCCAGGAGGCGCTCTCTGTTGTCAACAGACGTAGGTTACCGTTCATTACGCCTGAATGACCTCATGATCTTTCTGGAATAGGCATTTTAAAATCTGATATTTTACCATCAAAATGTACTAAAAACACAAAATCTCGCATTATATTCGTTATCGAACACACATTTAATCATCAAGTAAAATTTACAAATAAAAAGTAAGGTACAACATCATAATAATTACGTTTGAAATTGGGATCCGGTAGTATCACGCGGTACCGTGACGTAACACTATAGTACTCTATTGGTGATTTGTTTTCGTGACAAAAGCCAATTTACTTTGCACAATGTCTGCGATATACCTTTTTTTTATTAATCTTCCGCATTTCTTTTTCTTTATTCTCTTTTGTGATTAATGTATGTTTAGTTGCGATTGTATTGATTGGAGTTATATGTTAAAAGGTGCTTTGTAAATTGTGCCTTGTTTGATATTATTCTTGAAAGTAAAGAAAATCTATGTCGTCTGCATCGGTTTGTCTGTTGGAATGTTGTGTCCAATTCCCCTAAGTGCATGTTCACAATATTTGGTATAGAGTACGGGACTTAAACTGTCTACCTGAGACAGGTAGACAGTTGCGAATGACGTTTGATCTTTAGCTCACATCTTGATTCTAATGTTTAATCCCATGTGACTAAGTGAAAATATCACTATCCTGATTTCGTCGTCATTGCTAATCTATGTCGAACAGTTTTCTCACATTAGCAATTTGAATCTGTGACTTGAATAACAGTAATTGTGGTTGCATTAAGCTTGAGATCCTGTCGCTTCGTACTATTTTAGTACTTTAATTGTGAAAAAATATTTTTATCTGAACATTTCATACCAAAGTGAATATCTCATGGTACAAAATGCAGATTTTTTTCTTTTAATGTTGGCTGATCTATAGGCAAAGTCTGTAAGCCTAGATGGTTGACTACCACATAATATTTGCCAAGTGGAAAAATGATGAGGAAAAAATGATGACTTTTGCATACAGTATATAGGGGAAAATGTTTTTTTTTTTTTTTTTTTTTTAGTTCCTTTGCCAAGAGCCACATGTAGAAGTCTAACAAGGGGATGCAGGTATAAGAAATAAAACCTAGCCTGTCTAAATGCATTATGCACATTTAGCCATTGTCGTATCTATAAGCCAACAGCATTTTTAGGTCTAACATCAAATATTTTTAATAAGATATTTATGTATCGCTTTTAAAATTTTGCTAACTTTTCTTAATTTAAACTTTTTTGCTTGAATTTATTATATTGATTTAAATTATTATTGAATAAAATCCATGAATGAAAAAAATGAAATGAATTAATGCACTATACTTTTGTAAAACCTGCTATTTCTTCAGGGTTGTTAAGTGTGTGTTTGTGCAATAAACATTATTCCAGATATCGTTTACTACCAGTTACAAAGAATTTGAACAGAAGGCGAATGTCGTGAGCCAGATTAACCCGATACACCATCCTTCTAAATTTCCAATACGCCCTTGAACATGACTGTCAAATCATCGTTAAGAGTTGATGCAAACAGAATATTCCTTTCATCGGATATTAATCTCGACGTTCTTGAGTTATATATGGCGTTTATGGAATGACTCAGGCTTTTTTTCAATAATTTATGACGGATTTTTCTTCGTTGGTTTCATATTCTGTATTCGTATACATCAAAAACGTCGCATCCTTTTTTTTTTATACTTCTGTTTCTACATGTTTTGTGTGTATACAAGCTCTGTTAGTAAAAGTAAGTTACATATAAAATACTTTATCAAAAAAAATATTTTAGGGTGTTTTTTTTTTTGGATTTTGTACTATGATCAGTTTGAAATGGTAATTCTTAAATTTTCTGTTATTAAATTTCAGGCATACTGCTTTTACCCTTTCACCAATGCACTACAATATTCTAATCGTAACTGTTCATTCATGTATTTTCTTTGACCAGAACTATCAATAAAAATTGAACACTTATAATTCATTTTAAATGTTATTTATTTGAATGATTTTCATGATGTTAAAAAGTAGGAAGCCCACCTTTTGAAGAGCAGAAAACACATACAAAATGATGCAAATCTTTGGTAAGGACATTGAGAAATCCAGATAAATGTGACCTAAAATAAAAAAGTCAAAAAAAAAAATATATATATATGTATATATCAAAAAAATAGAAATTGACATACAGAAGCTTATGTTGCGGCTTTCGATCGGCTTTCGACCGAGGTCGTCATTTGAATTGTCAATTTGAATCAAAAGATTGTTATATTGCCTATGCCCTTGGCCAACCCACCTTACTAGTTCATCTCCCTCCACCGAAGAGTACAAAATGAATTGGTGGGATGTTAATAATTTGGATTTTGTAAGACTAGAAATTACTCCCCAGAGAGCAAAGAAGGTTGCACACCTGCGTATGATTGATTCCTTGCCGAATGTCAAGGATAAGAACACAAGGGAGATCGTGGATAAATTTCTATTGTAGTTCACAATTGGTACTTCTTAAATTTTCTGTTATTAAATTTCAAGGCATACTGCTTTTACCCTTTCACCAATGCGCTACAATATTCTAATCGTAACTGTTCATTCATGTATTTTCTTTGACCAGAACTATCAATAAAAATTGAACACTTATAATTCATTTTAAATGTTATTTATTTGAATGATTTTCATGATGTTAAAAAGTAGGAAGCCCACCTTTTGAAGAGCAGAAAACACATACAAAATGATGCAAATCTTTGGTAAGGACATTGAGAAATCCAGATAAATGTGACCTAAAATAAAAAAGTCAAAAAAAAAAATATATATATATGTATATATCAAAAAAATAGAAATTGACATACAGAAGCTTATGTTGCGGCTTTCGATCGGCTTTCGACCGAGGTCGTCATTTGAATTGTCAATTTGAATCAAAAGATTGTTATATTGCCTATGCCCTTGGCCAACCCACCTTACTAGTTCATCTCCCTCCACCGAAGAGTACAAAATGAATTGGTGGGATGTTAATAATTTGGATTTTGTAAGACTAGAAATTACTCCCCAGAGAGCAAAGA